TCGACCAACCAATTCGACTGGACTGGTCAACGGGTTTATCAGGCTTGTACTACCTAGTGTGGTAAATACCTAGTGTGTCGAACTTTATTCCATTCAACTAGTACATATCGCATGCGATGCACGGTACATCAATACTAAAAATAATTTTATAAATTAGATGCTAGGTTATATTGACGTATTTACCCTAAATGAAACTTTAAAACAATTTGAAGGATACAATTTTTTTTTTTTTTTTTTTTCATATATCATATGTAACATATATAAATAAAAAAGTTTAACAAGTATAAAACATTGTTTATCTTTTAGAGATTTTATTTTTTTCGAAACAATAGATTCATTAACAAAAAACACATAATTACAACCGGCTGACAACGGGAATAGAAGTTGCTCATAGAGGCTAACCTAGATGCCACAACACACACTACAACACAAAACGAAAAATAAAAACTCGCAACAGGAGAATAATACTAACTCTCTACAGGAGAATGACACTAAATCCTCACAGGAGAATAATATGCTCCTCCAAAGGAGAATAAAACAAAACACAATACCCAAACAAAATAAAACACGTCAAACACAAACAAAACACCACAAAACACAAAAACAAAAAATAATACAAAGAAATATAGGATAAATCTCTTCTTACGGCTGGAAACACGCCAACTAATCACGACAGTAATACCAATGGCCGACCACCCATACGGACCGGAAATCGCCTCAGAATCCAACACCAGAAACTGAAACTTTAGCACCTAACTGGAATTAGACCCTAGAAATTCGACCCTGCACCCGAGTAGCCGATCCCACCCTCAGCTGGAGGAAACTGAACCAAACCCATCTCACAATCGCCCCGAGCTCTGCCCACACCACGGACCAGGGCTCGTCGTGCCAGCAGCACCCTCGACCCGCGCATTGGAGGGAAAAGAAACAAGGGAAAAAAAGTCAAATCACCTCTAACCGACCCCAACAATCCGGTCGTCGGAGCCACAATCCTTCCCATCAGAAGCACCGGCGTCCTCCACACCACCCAGGATATTGACGGACCACCAGCCCAAAGAGGCAACCAGGAAAGATGGCGAAACCTCTTAGACCGTCGCCCACCCCGCCGGCTCGAGCGAAAGAACAAAAACACCACCGACAGAGAGTCGTGCAGCCATGGGTCAGCTACCGTCAAAATAACCGGTGTTCCGCCAAAGAAGGCGGACGATCGTAGATCTAGGGCAAAGAGATTTGGGGATTCTATTTTCGAAGAGAGAAAGAGAGAAGTGTACCTTTTAGAGATTTCGACTGATATTTTTAAATTTTTCGAGACCTAAATTGGTAGATTGTATCTTTCAAGTCTCCATTAATATTTAAATCAAACTTTTGAGTCTCAAACTAATATAAACTAAAGTCTTAAAATTAACAATATTAGATCTCTTGTGTCGGTTAAAAAAAAATTACAAGTCGTATATTTTATTTTTATATGATATGATTTTTTTTTTGTACAATAAAGGAGACCAAAGGTCTAAGCTAGAACTTCCCGGGGATATGACACCCGGATGTTATCATGCGTGAGCCACTCTCCCACTCCCGGGGGGAAGGGGGAAGAGAGTCGGTGTAGCCCGAGAGGATAGGACGCCACCAAACTCGCCAGAAAATCCGCCACAAAGTTCGCCTCTCGATGAGCGTGCTGAAGTTGAACTGACCAATTCCTTTGAAATAGATCTTGAATAACTCTCACCAAGGCCCCATTATGACCACTAATTCCCTCCGCGTTGGATACCATGGTCATGACGCACTGACTATCAATTTCTACATAAAGTTAACGGTGTCCCCGGTCCCACGCCATTGTCAACCTCTGGAAAAGTCCCCATAGCTCGGCTCCCGTGATCGTGCATGCCCCAATATTCATAAGAAAACCCTCAATCTACCTCCACATCTCATCTCTAATCACGCCACCCTCGTTACTCAAGCCCGTGGATTGGCGAAAAGCACCATCCGTATTGACTTTAACCCAGCCCGTTACCGGAGAAACCCATCGAATCGAACGCGTAACATAAGTAGCAGCCCCAACCTTCATGGAAGACGCAACCGCTCGGGCATAACTCTCCGTTAGCATCATAACCTCCCCCGTCTTCGCTGCGACACTAGAGAGTTTATTCTGAACTACCCTTTCATTGCGCCATTTCTAAATACGCCACACGGTCACCGAGAAAAGGCTGCACCAATTTTGAAAATTTCCCAGCTGAGTGCGCAGCAAGTTCCGATGGAGCCATGCCTTCAAAGGTAAACAGAAAAATCTCCCACATCTGCCGCCGGTATCAGTTGCGACCATAGCGCCTTAGCGGAGGAGCAGTCCCTCAGAACATGTAATATCGACTCCTCGGCACCGCACAAACCGCAGTCAGCTGAAGCCGCCATATGTCGCCGGCATCGTTCTATGTTGGTTAGTAGGCGATCTCGGGCAGCAAGCCACATAAACGTACGAGCCCGTTGCGGTGCATGGGCATGCCAAATTACTTTCCACAGATTTTGGTCCGGGTCCGTTACGTGAGGTGATAGCGCTAGGTAAGCCGATTTTGTAGAAAATACTCCATCTGCTGAAAACCCCCAGATAATTCGATCTTCCACCGTCGTCGCTCTCGAAGGAAGTGTACCCGCGATACACATGATCACAGAGGAGGGCAAAAGACCATGAAAGCTTTCCCATTTCTAGCTTCCTTGCCCATCTACCATTGCAGCAACCGATGAAGCCAAATTCGGTACACGCGTATGGTCCTGAACAAAACGTAGCAAAGGCCCGTCCATGTCCAGCCAGGTATCGAGCCAGAAATGTATCTTTTCGTCGTTACCCAAAATCCATCTAATTCCCCGAACCACATAGGGCCATATAGTTCGAATAACCCTTAGGATTGTGGACCCTTGCCGCCAGTTACGGGCTTCTAGTTGTGGCGAGAATTGCATCGCATATGTAGCTTTCAGGACGCGAACCCAAAGGGCCCCCGGTTTAGTCAAAAGTCCCCACCCCAACTTCATCAACAAAGCAGTGTTCATTTGCCGGAGATCCTTCACGCCCAATCCCCCTCATTTTTCGGTTTGCACACATCCTTCCATGCGACTAGGTGAACATTTTGCTGGTCATTGGTCTCGCCCTAAACAAATGCCCGACTTTGACGCTCGAGGCCCGCAGAAGTTGCGCAAGGAAGCAACGCCGTTCGCATTGTATAATAAGGTAGCATGCTCAGTACTGACTGTATAAGTGTCACTCTAAGACAAGGACTTCACTTTACGCCCGGCGAGCCGCTTTTCCACGCGTTCCACTATATGACCGTACGTAGCTTTGGAAACTTGGCCGTTAATGACTGGTACGCCCAAATATTTGCCCAGGTTCTCTGTGAGCTGAAAGTCGAGCCTCGAGGCTAACCTTTGTTGTTCGATGTGCTCCACATTATTGGAAAAGAGGACTTGTGTTTTTGTCGCACTAACTTTGTGTCCCGACTCGGTGCAGAAACTATCGAGGACCCGTGTGATAGTAGCAACTTGCTCATCTGAAGCTTCCAAGAAGAGGAGTAGGTCATTGGCGAACATCAGGAAAGGCACAGTGACAGCACCTCGCCCCACCGAGATAGGACGCCACTCACGAGCCTCAACGGACTCACGAATCCTCTGTGCTAGTCGTTCCATGCAAAGCACAAAAATATAGGGAGAGATAGGGTCCCCCTGCCGTACCCCGCGCGTGGGGCGAAACTCCTCTCCAATTGTGCCTTCCCACAATAAGCTCATCGAGGCTGATCGAATACACGCCATAACAACATTAGTAAAGTGCTCAGGATAGCCAGCTAGTCGGAGGGTCTCTTCGATAAAACTCCAACGAAGATAGTCATACGCTTTTTCGAGGTCTACCTTAATTACCATGTAGTCGGTCGCCCCGCGTTTACAGCGCATAGAATGTATGAGCTCTTGAGCCACAATGATGTTATTTGTGATATGTCTTCTTGGGACAAAACTAGCCTGGGCCGGATAGACAAGCGCTGGTAGGGAAGGCTTCATCCGGTTAACCAACACTTTAGTGAAAATTTTGTAGACGACAGTAAGCAAGCTAATAGGACGGAATTGCTTAATCGTTGTGACGGGCTCAAACTTCGGAATTAATACAAGCAGGGTTCGGTTGACCTGATCAGGCACGACCCCATCCTGCCACATCGTCCGAATAAGATACCTAATCGAAGGCCCGACAACCTCCCAATTGCGTTGGTAAAAGAGGGCATTCAACCCGTCCGCCCCTGGAGCTTTCAATGGCGCCATATTCTTCACAGCTGAAAAAATCTCCTCGTCAAATATGGCCTCAGCCATGATAGTCGTGGCATTGGTCGTACTAGCGGGGAAAAGAGAACTCGAAGGTGCAGCCGGCTGGACATGTGCTACATCGGTATAAATGTGCTTGAAGTACTACGTTGCTAGAGCGCGAAGAGATGTTGGATCTGTGAGACTGTGACCTGGTTCCCCTCGGCATCTGTCAACTCAATTACTCTTCCGCATCGTCGACGAGACTTAAGTTGTCGATGATAGTAAGAGGTAAACCGGTCCCCCAAAAAAGTCCAGTCCCTCGTAGCTTTCGAAATCATCAAAAGCTCCTCTTGACTATGATGAAAATGAAATTGATGAAGTGACTTTCAATAAATTGCTACAACGTGTCTTCTCACTCAAGGCGCATCCACCGCGTGGAACCTTTAACAAATATAGATCATTTTTAGTCACTAACTAAAATATTTCCACTTTAAATATATAAATTAAAAAAAGAAAAAAAAGGCTCACCCAAACCAGGGAATCCACTCTACCCGTCAAAAACCATCTCCCTGGAACCTTCCTCCCCAACGCGTCGTCAACCGCGTCCTCTGTAAATCTATATATCATACAAAAACCAGAAAGAACCCTTCACCTCTCATATCACTCCATCTTTCACCATTTCTCCTTAAAACCCTCCAAATCTAACTCAATTTCGAATCGAACCCTTTTCCATGGAAATCTCGTCCTTCCCGTTCCTCGAGGACTCCAATTACCCTTTCTCAATCTCCTTCGCACAGGACCCGGACCCGATAACGCCCTTTTCCAACCTCGGAAAGCGGCCCAGGTGCCCCGATTTCGAACCCGATTTCTCCGTTGACGACCTCCTCATCAAATTCATGGCGGCCGACACCCCGCCGGAGGTAAAGCCCGAGCCCCACTCTTTCCCGGCGCCGGCCGACCCGGATTGCATCCAGTTTCACAAGGAAACGAACGACTGCTCCAAGCGGGCCCGCTCCGAGTCAGAGACCACTTCTGGGGACTCCGGCGGCGGCGGCGCGCAGCGCCGCCTCTGGGTGAAGAGCCGGTCGAAGGCGTGGTGGGAGCAGGTGAACAGCCCCGATTACCCGGAGGAACAGTTCAAGCGTGATTTCAGAATGAGCAGAGCTACTTTCGACATGATCTGCGACGAGCTGGAGTCTACAGTCACGAAAAAGGACACCATGCTCCGGCAGGCCATCCCCGTCCGTCAGCGCGTCGCCGTGTGCGTGTGGCGGCTCGCCACCGGAGAGGCCCTCCGGGAGGTCTCCAAGCGGTTCGGTCTTGGAATCTCCACCTGCCACAAACTTGTCCTCGAGGTCTGCACCGCCATCCGCACAGTGCTTATGCCCAAATTCCTTCACTGGCCGGAAGACCACCGGTCAGCAGAGATCAAACGTGAGTTCGAGATGCTGTCTGGTATCCCCGGCGTGTGCGGGTCCATGTACACCACCCACATCCCCATAATCGCCCCTAAAACAAACGTGGCCGCCTACTTTAACAAGCGCCACACGGAGCGGAACCAGAAGACGAGCTACTCGATCACGGTCCAGGGCTTGGTGGACCCCACTGGAGCCTTCACCGACGTCTGCATTGGCTGGCCTGGCTCGATGACCGATGAGCAGGTCCTCGAGAAGTCGGCCCTTTCCCAACGGGCGGGCAGAGGGGCCCTCAAGGACTCATGGGTCGTCGGGTGCTCGGGCCACCCACTGACCGACTGGGTCCTTGTCCCATACCCGCACCGGAACCTGACGTGGGCCCAGCACGCGTACAACGACAAGATTCGGGAGGTGCAGAGGGTTGGGAAGGAGGCTTTCGGGAGGCTTAAGGGGAGGTGGGCCTGCCTGCAGAAGAGGACCGAGATGAAGCTTCAGGACTTGCCAGTGGTTTTGGGGGCGTGTTGCGTTTTGCACAACGTATGCGAGATGAGGAACGAGGGTTTTAGTTCGGATTTGAGGTTCGAGCTTTTTGACGATGAGGTGGCGCCTGAGAATGGCGTGAGGTCGATCAATGCCGAGCAAGCGAGGGATAGGATCGCGCACAAACTACTGCATCATGATGTTGGGAGGAAAGATTTTGTGTTGTGAATTGTGATGGTGTTTATATAGGGTCTTTTTTTGCTTGGAAAAAGAAAAGAAGAGGAGGATTTATAAGTAGGATTTAGTAGTGTTGATGAGAAGTTTGGGTCTTTGATGGCCAGTTGGGGTCATGTAGAGGGGGGAAATTTTTCTGATTTGATTAGGAGTGTGAAATTCATTGATTTATTTCTGTAGAGTGTATTTTGTTCTTGTTGTTCTATGAATAGGTAGTATGTTTTACTGAATATTTTTAGTCTAATGAATTGATCACTGGGTTAAACTATATAACATTTGCTGGGTTGAAATATGAATATGATATTGTTTTGTGTTGAACTGGTCGTGTAGCATGGAATCTTTCTACTTGGGTGTTGGACTTTGTATGTCTTCTATTGATATATACCGTGGTCGTTGGTACTATTGTTGTTAAATTAAATGAGCTTGACTCGGCTCGGTGCAGTTCGTTAAGGCTTCTAGTAAAGCTCGTTTGGTTAATGAGTCAAGCTCAATAAGACTCGAAAAGAGAATTTTTATATAATTTTCTATAGCTCGACTCGTTAAAACTTGAGATCGGCTCGTTAAGGCCTAGAGCTAGGCTCGAGCTCTAGGCCTTAACGAGCCGAGCTCGAGCTTGAGCACACTAAGCTCGAGCTTGAACTCGAGCACCATAAGTTCGAGCTTGGCTCAGTTTGTTTACAGGCCTAGTCGGTTCTTCCATTTCAGGTAAAAGGGATCGACTCAAAGTTTAAAAAAAAAAAAAATGACGTCTTGGATTGGTGGTCAAAGATGTCTACCATTTTACTAATTTCATACTTGATAGTCAAGGATATTCTCGATGTCCCGACCTCAACAGTGACAGTTGAACAAGCATTCAGCAAGGGAGGATATACACTTGAAGCACGACGGTCAATGTTGACGCCACAAAACTTGGAGGCCCAAATACTGTTGAGTGACTGGAAGAAGGTTGAAATGAGGGCACAAAAGATCATGCTCACTGTCGAAGAGGATGAAAAAGATGAGGGATCCGATTTTATTGCTAGTAATAGTGGAGCCACTGAAAATGAAGAGGAGTACGAAGTATACGACTACGAAGACTAGACAATCAGTTTAATCCTGCCATCTACTTTTATCAAGGTAAGTATAATAAGAGAACTACGAGAATTTTGATTTCTGGGGTAAGGGATATATAGACAACTTAATTGACGTTTTACAAGTTAAAATATCATTTATTAAAAACAATTTCTTTAACTAAATTGATAATTTAACTTATAATATATCAATTAAGCCAAAGTACAATTTCTTTAAACAATGAAATTCTCTTAAGTACTTCCACTTCCACTTTATTTTCCAGATCAATACATTAAGAAAACATTTTCATTACCTCACTCCAATTTTTAACCATAATAATGATTAATGAGGATTTATGTAAATAAACATCAATATTTTTTGAACTATATTACATCTCATTTATATCTTACCTACAGTTGCTGGATTTGTTCATAAAATTGGAAATTTAACAGATGAAAGGGGTATAAGTATAACCAAAGTCCACCATTTCGAAAAAGGAATTATGAGCTTGAAAAGCATGTGCCAAATATTCGGGAGAATCGTCCCAAAATGGTTCGCTCTGTCGGACATGACTCCATCATCGTCGTTTCTTTTTCGCGTGCAACGTGACAGGAACAACCATTTTTCTCTCCAGATCCTTGCAATTTCATATCATGAACCAGTACTAGCAGCTAACACAAGAACACAAAACTCAAAATTCAAGACACGGGAATGAAACAAACTCAATATATATATATATATATATATATATATATATATATATTGAGTTGAGTTCACATGGGAATGATACTTAATGAAAGAAATGAGAATAAATTGTAGCCATTAAATCATCCGATCTAATGGTCAACCAAAAAACCAAAAATTATTTCTCATTAAAGGTAATGTGATATTTTTACACACCCAACAGTGAGACCCATACCACACCACTACCAGCCGCCACGTCACCCAACACAACTCATCTCTCTTTTTCCCTATCTCTCCGCCACGTCACCACCTTTTACAAACTCAACACGCACCCACACACAAACACCACACGCACCCACACACCTAACACACGCACACACACATCATACCTAGACACAGCAGAATTAATTTACACACACACACAAACCTAAACACAACACAATTAATTCTTGCACACACACACATACACACGCACACAGAGTAAGGCGGAACCGCCAGACCTACACGCCGGAGCACCCGACCTCCACGCCAGATCCGGCAAACCTCCATCCCGGTTCCTACTGTTGTAAATTTAAATTGTGAAAGGCGAATTAAGAACGAGTTTCAACACATATACGTATTAAGAATTTGAAAAAAGAAACCACAAACATCAACCACGGGAACGTGAGATGAAACCAGATTTCTATTAGTAAATAATTCTATTATAAAAATAAATAACTTAACTGACAGTTCTATATAGCCATAGAACACATATAGCCGAATCACAGAAATAATCTGTTTGCCTTGAAGAAACAAACGTCCTGATACTGTGCAACGAGTACTACGCCTTTTCTCCCAGGATAAGACGGCTCAAAGTGTGAAGATTGCACTATCTAACACACTCACCTCGATCAGAAGCTCAGTCGCCAAGAACCCTTAATTGTTCTTAGACTTGTAGAGGATGAAAGAGATTATGTATGTATAAAGTGATCCTTTTCTTTTCTTCACTTAGTGTTTTTTTCCCGTAGGCTTGCATGCACACTATTTATAGTGTTACAAAGTCTTCAAACCCAATGCATGCATTCAATGAAGTAGAGATGTCTTAATGCCTTCATTAAGACAAAAGTAATGAAACTTTGAGTTTCATCACACTTTTCATCTCACAATTCAAAACCAAACACGGTTATGTTTTCTCCACAATGAATTTGGACAATACATTAGTAACATTAAACACACCATTATATCTAAGGATTCCCACATAATACAATCACCTTTTCTCATGTAATGTTAATTACAACAATCCCCTACAAATCCTTAGATAATAATTATCAGGGTTATCATAAGTTGCTTTCAGTAATGGTACCTTCCGGTTTGAACCACTACCTAAGTTATCCAACTTCTGTCATCACCGAAATGAATGGATCTACGCTTTGAATTCATGTCGTGAGTGTAATGACGTTCATTAGTAACAACAACTTATAGGCTATGTTCTGATCTTTAGGGTTGACACATTAGGCCATATGTCACGATCCTGTTCATGAGTATCTTCAAGGAATAACCCTTTCCCCTAGTTGCGGCCAAACAACTATACTCATTTAGTTGGGCATCTCCAAAGATGCACTGCTTACATCTTGTTTAGAAAACTAGACCCCATTCAGAGATAAACTCTTACTATACTTGCAGTTAACAGCACCTTCTAGGTATGTCAGGGAAAGAACTCATCATACTTTATATATAAAGTATCAGTCTTGTAATTTTAGGTGCACAATGATACATTCAACAACTTGTTTATACCACATTGAACCTTTCTTGTGGGATCTCCACTTGAAAGGTTGAGTTGCTACTGCAGATGCATCTCATATGGGTTATTCAGTCCCATCCCTAACCTGGATTTTTGAACTAAGGATAGATCAAGTCCTTTAGTCAAAGGATCAGCCAAGTTGTCTTTAGAATTAACAAAGTCAACGGCCATAACCTTATCAGACACTAATTCCCTTATAGACTTTAGTCTAACTTGGATGTGCCTCTTTGTTTTCTGATTGAACTTTTGACTTCTTATTTTTGCAATTGTGGTTTGACTATCATAATGCACTGGTATCGGAGGTAATGACTTACTTACAATGGGTAGTTGCATCAACAACCCATACAACCATTCTGACTCCATTCCAGTCGTGTCCAATGCACATAACTTAGCCTCAAAAGTAGACCGTGTTACCAAAGTCTGTTTGGTAGACTTCCAGGAGACAGCGCCCCCACCCAAGGTAAACATATATCCTGTACATCCGTTAGTTCCGGAATTTTTAGCTATCCAGCTAGCATCACTATATCCCTCAAGTACCTCAGGGAATTTGCTATAGTGTATAGCCAGTGATATTGTGCCTTTAAGATATCGAAGTACCCTATCCAAGGCTTCCCAGTGAGTTCCGTTAGGACAACTTGTATATCTAGCTAACTTTGACAGAAAAAACAAAATATCTGGTCTTGTACCATTAGCTAAATATTGCAAGCTTCCAATAATTTGAGAATATCTCAATTGAGCCACAGAAACACCACTTTCGTTTTTAAAAAGAGCCACAGATGGATCTTCATCCATCTGTGGTTTTAGCAATTCTACAATCATTATAACCATATTTCTCAATTATTTTCTCAACATAATGAGATTGAGAAATGGCTATACCTTTAGTTGAACGAATCAACTTAAGGCCAAGAATTACATTTGCCTCGCCCATATCCTTCATTTCAAATTTACTCTTTAGAAATGATTTAGTCTCTTCAATTATTTCATAAGCAGATCCTATTAACAGAATATCATCTACGTATAAACATAAGATTATACAATTATCACCTTTAACCTTAAAGTATATGCACTTATCATTATCATTTATCACAAAGCCGAATAATAAAATAGTTTTATCAAACTTTTCGTGCCATTGTTTAGGTGCTTGTTTCAAACCATAAAGAGATTTAACAAGCTTGCAAACTTTATGCTCGTTATCGGGAGCTATAAACCCCTCAGGCTGATCCATGTATATTTATTCATCAAGATCTCCATGTAAAAATGCAGTTTTTACATCCATCTGATAAATATAGAGATTATACACAGAAGCCAAGGCTATAAGCACACGGATAGTAGTTAAACGAGCAACAGGTAAATAGGTATCAAAATAATCTATTCCCTCTTTCTGTTTAAAACCTTTGGCAACCAATCTGGCTTTAAACTTATCAATGGTTCCATCAGAATTAAGTTTCTTTTTGAAAATCCATTTACAACCAATTTTATT